CTACCACATCTGTGTAGCAACAAAAATTTAATCTTTTAGGGTTAAAGGACAAATTTGGGAAGTATTGTACAGCATTTGAAAATGGAATTAAATTTTATAACAAGAATTGGGAATAGAAAATAGACAATTCACCAGAGGTGGGAGGAGAGAAGGGAACTCCCAATATAATTCACTATTAAGAAGAGAAATAAGGTACCATTTCTCTCCTGTCGTGTTGGCAGAAATGATGCTGCCAGGTGTTGGCAGTTGAATGGCTCTAAAGCATTTGATAGGAACTTTAATAAAGCCCTTTGGGAAGGCTATTGGGCATTCAGAATCAAAAGTCTTGTATGCCAGTGGTCCCCCTTTACGAATCAGTTCTGCATCTAGAAATTTCTTCAAGGAAATAATGGAAGACGATCCACATACTCAGATGTTTCATAGTCACGTAACAATAATTTTGTGTGTATGTGTGTTTTTTTTTATTAGACATGTTAGTCTTTTTTTCTCACCAGCGTTAATGTTGTAATACTATATCTTTTGTCTTCTCTAGCAATTTTGACTGGAGCACCTGTTGGACTTGGAAATCCTAGCTCTCTAGGGGTGGGTCAACAGTCTACCCCCAGCCTAAGCACTGTTAGTCAGATTGATCCCAGCTCTATAGAAAGAGCCTATGCAGCTCTCGGACTACCCTATCAAGTAAATCAGATGCCGACACAACCCCAGGTGCAAGCAAAGAACCAGCAGAATCAGCAGCCTGGGCAGTCTCCCCAAGGCATGCGACCCATGAGCAACATGAGTAAGTTTGTGTCATCCTAGTAACAGTATTGGTTGTGTCAGTAAATGACAGCTATAAATACAGGGTCGTTAGCTCCTTTTTGTTTTTTCTGCTACATGATTAATTTTTGAAACAATTTTTTAAAGATTACAGTGTAAAAGGGCCCTTACAGTTCATCTGCAAGAGGTAACCGCCACTGATTTGTATCTTCCTTGATCCTTTTTTGCATTATGTGAGTTTAGATTTGCAGAAATGAGATCCCATATGTTATTCCACAACAAACTTTGATTAATATCGTGTAGACAGTCTGGGCACAGTGGCTCATGCCTGTAATCCCAGCACATTGGGAGGCTAAGGTGGGTGGATCACAAGGTCAGGAGTTTGAGACCAGCCTGACCAACACTGTGAAACCCTGTCTCTACTAAAAATACAAAAATTAACAGGGTGTGGTGGTGCGTGCCTGTAATCCTAGCTATATGGGAGGCTGAGACAGGAGAATGGCTTGAACTTGGGAGGCAGAGGTTTTAGTGAGCTGAGATTGAGCCGTTGCACTCCAGCCTGGGTGATAGAGCAAGACTCCGTCTCAAAAAAAACAAAACTGTGTAGACATCTTTCATAGTCAGTACTCCATGTATCATTTTAAATGGTTGTATAGTATGTCATTCTTTTTTTTTTTTTTTTTTGAGGTGGACTGGAATGCAGTGGCATGATATCCACTCACTGTAACCTCTGCCTCTGGGTTCAAGTGATTCTTCTGCCTCAGCCTCCTGAGTAGCTGGGACTACAGGCGCACGCCACCACACCCAGCTAATTTTTGTATTTTTAGTAGAGATAGCGTTTTCACCATGTTGGCCAGGATGGTCTCAATCTCTTGACCTCATGATCTGCCCGCCTGGGCCTCCGAAAGTGCTGGGATTACAGGTGTGAGCCTCTGCGCCCGGCTCAACAATCTCTTACAGATGGACATTAAGATCTCCAATTATTCTGCTGTTTTAAACTATACAACAGAAATTGTTGTGTTTTGACCTGAGGCATTTTGGGTTGAAACATACAGAAGTGAGTGTAGTTGGTAATGATTTCCTCATGTCTGGCAGGAGGAATAGTGTGCCTTTTCAAATACTTTTTTTGTGACTTGTTTGCCTCACTTCCTGTTGTATGACTGAGAGGGAAGAGGGAGTAGTATTCCAGTATCCTAATTTGGGGATATATATGTTTCTCTGATTGCATACGATAAAATTGGGAGAATTGTTCTAGTATCTTAATTTTGAAATATGTATGTTTCTCTAATTGCATATGATAAAATCAAACAGCTTTTTTCTGTGTCTATTCCTCTACTGTCAAGCAATTCAAATATCTAAGCTATTTTGTTTGAGTAGTTAGACATCCAGCATTGTAGAGACGGGGTCGTCTTGTCCAGGCTGGTCTTAAAATTCTGGGCTCAAGCAATCCTCCTGCCTTGGCCTCCCAAAGTGCTGGGACTACAGGCGTGAGCCACCGCGCCTGGCCTAAGATTATTTCCCCTCCCCCGGAGACAGAGTCTTGCTGTGCCACCCAGGCTGGAGTGCAGTGGCACGGACCTTGGCTCACTGCAGCTTCCACCTCCTGGGTTCAAGCAATTCTTCCTGCCTCAGCCTTCCAAATAGCTGGGATTACAGGTGCCCTCTACCACACGCGGCTAATTTTTTTATTTTCTCGTTTTTAGATAGAGACAAGGTTTTCCATGTTGGCCAGGCTGGTCTTGAACTGCTGACCTCAGGTGATCTGCCTGCCTTGGCTTCCCAAAGTGCTGTGATTACAGGCATGAACCACCATGCCTGGCCCTCTAAGATTGTTTTTTAGTACAGATTGAGTATCCCTTTTCTGAAATGCTTGAAAACAGAGTACTTCAGATTTTTTTCGGAGTTTGGAATGTTTGTATTTGCTGGTTGAGTTGAGAATCCCAAATCCAAAAATCAGAATGCTCCATTGAGCATTTTCCTTGAATATCATGTTGGCATTCAGAAAGTTTTGGATTTTTGTATTTGGGATGCCAAACCCATACTGCTATTTTTTACTTTCTTCCTATTTTCCACTGCTGTGTTCTGTTGCTCCCATTTTTAGTTTTTGAATTAATCTTTAGGATGTTTTCTTTTTCCGCTTTTTCTTTGCTATATATTTTCTTTACTGTAATAATAGTATTTTCAAACCAGTGATCTGCTTTTAAGCACATATTGAGCCACTGTGCAGTGAAGTTTTAATGCTACCTGTGTTCATAAACTGTTTAACAACTGTTTTGTCGGAAACTGCAAGTTGTGAGAGTGAAATGCAAACATTTTTAGACCCATCAATTTTGATTTTGACTTTTAATAATTCAAGATCCAAAATGATAGGTAGATAGTGACGTGGAGCTTCTTGTATTCAAGTTTGTAAGTCAGATTTTGCAGTCACTGGCATGACTGCTTTAGACAGTTGTGCTAATAATGTTCATTGTACCACACCGATTCTACTTTAATACTCCTCAGATTCTTCATTCCTGCCCTATTGTTATTGTTTATTACTTGGTCCATTGATTTTATTCTTTTTTTTTTTTTTTTTTCTGATTTCAGTCTTGAAAGCAGTATTTTCAAAGAGGATGTTTTTCTTTTTATCTAATCAGGGACTTAGATAAGTTCTCTTAGATAAATTTTGGATAAGTAGAAACGTACATGTGTGTGTTTGAGATTGGTCTCCCTGTGCGTGTGTGTGTTTGAGACTGGGTCTGATAACTAGAAACGGGTGTGTGTGTTTGAGATTGGTCTCGTGTGTGTGTGTGTGTGTGTGTGTGTGTGTGTGTGTGTTTTGCTTTGTCATCCAGGCTGGAATGCAGTAACACGATCTTGGCCTGCAACTTCTGCCTCCTGGGCTTAAGCGATCCTCCTACCTCAGCCTCCCAAGTAGCTGGGACCATACACATGCACCACCACGCCTGGCTAATTTTTGTATGTTTTGTGTAGACAAGGTTTCGCCATGTGGTCCAGTCTGGTCTTGAACTCTTGAGCTCAAGTGATCCACCAGCCTCAACTTCCCAAAGTAGTTTGTGTTTTTCATTACTTCCATGACAATCAGTGCTAACTTGTTAAATAATTATTGAGTGAGGAGTTTTTAAGCAGGACTAGGAAAAGGGATGAGGAGCAATCTTGCCTTTTCAGGCTTCCGTTTACCTCTTCTGTATTGAAAATACATGTATAGGAGTAATGGAAAGTTGGACTTGGAGACTAGCATATTTTCCCCTCTTGTTTTATATCTTCTATCTTGGAATTAGCATTGTTTCTTTCTTTCTTTTTTTTCTTTTTCTTTCTTTTTCTTTCTGAGATAGCATCTCACTCTGTCACCCAGGCTGGAGTGCAGTGGCGTGATCTCAGCTCACTGCAACCTCTGCCTCTGGGGTTCAAGCGATTCTCCTGCCTCAGCCTCCAAGAGTGGCTGGGACCACCTTTTTGTATTTTCTTTTAGTAGAGAGAGAGTTTCACCAGGAGGTCTTGAACTGCTGACCTCATGATCCGCCCGCCTCAGCCTCCCAAAGTGCTGGGATTACAGGCATGAGCCACCATGCCCAGCATTACTTTTTTTTATCTCCCATTCCGTGTTATGCAGAATGCATCTTACCTTTTTCCTTAAGTTTTAGGATATTGACCTTAGGTTGATATCTTCCCGTGGCCTGGAATTTCATTGTTGTAATTGGGTAGTTCCATTTTATTTTTCAAACTTCTTTGTATAGTTCCTATTATAGCTCTTTTCCTCTCATTATATTATCTTGCCTATGTACTTTTATATATATGCAGAATTATTTGAATGATAATTTTGGGGGATTTTTTCCCCCCATTTCTTGGTGTCTTATTTAGAATTAGATTTAAGATCACTCAAGTTTCCTTTGTTTTTATTTCTTCAGTTAATAGTACCTTTGTAGTAATAACTGTCTTAGTGAACAAAAATCTCTAGAATAGACCTGGAGACCTTGGAAAGAATGTGTAGCTGTATTTTCATGTACCATCAGAAGGCACTAAGATAAGCAGATTCATGTACAGTGTAATCAGTTTTTTATTTCATTGAACTAAAAAAAAATTTGTTAAATTAATAATTTATATACAAATGTAATTTTACACAAGATTTTTACAGTAACACATACATAATTAATGACATCACAACTCTATTTGAAAAAGACCACTTCTAACAGCTAAATTTCAGAGAGCGAGCCTAGTAATATTAGAAGGAAAATTTTGCCCAGGCGCAGTGACTCGTGCCTGTAATTCCATCACTGGGAGGCCAGGGTGGGAGGATTGCTTGAACCCAGGAGTTTCAGGATGCTGTTATCATCGTGTGCCTGTACTTTAGCCTGGGTGACAGAGTGAGATCTTGTTTCGAAAACAAAACAGTGAAGGAAAGTTTAGCCTAAGCTTTTAGGGAGCATGATGAAGGAAGACAACAGCATTTCTCTCTTTAAAAATTGTTTGTAAATTGAGCCAGTTATTTTCATTTTAGTGGGAAGTTTTGTTTTTAACTAAAAATAACTTGAGGGGTGTATTAATAGAACTGTGTATCAAAAGTCTTTTAACCACATGAAAATTTGGTTTGATGTGAGTGTTGCTGTTGGTTGTTTTTAGTGTTTTTGTTTGTTTTGTTTTTGTTTTACATTGAACAACATGGGTTTGAATGCTTTTAGTTTTTCTTTCTTGTTTGTTCATTTGTTGTTTTATCTCTCCAGTAACTTAAGTTGTTATTAGTGTTTAAAGCAGTAGAATATACAGCCAGGTATGATGGCTTATGCGTGTAATCCCAACAACTGGGAGGCCAACACAGGAGCATAGGAGTTTGAGACCAGCCTGGGCAACATAGTGAGAACCCCCATCTCTTTTTTTTTTTTTTTTTTTTTTTTTGAGATGGAATCTCGCTCTATAGCCAGGCTGGAGTGCAGTGGCGTGATCTCTGCTCACTGCAACCTCCGCCTCCGGGGTTCAAGCGATTCTCCTACCTCAGCCTCCCAAGTAGCTGGGACTACAGGAGCGTGCTGCCATTCCCAGCTAATTTTTGTATTTTTATTAGAGACAGGGTTTCACCATGTTGGCCAGGATGGTCTTGATCTCTTGACCTTATGATCCGCCCGGCTTGGCCTCCCAAAGTGCTGGGATTACAGGCGTGAGCCACTGCGCTCGGCATCTACTTCGGGAGGCCGAGGTGGGTGGATCACAAACTCAAGAGATCGAGACTCTCCTGGCTAACATGTTCAAACCCCGTCTCTACTAAAAATACAAAAAATTAGCCAGTCGTGGTGGCAGGCGCCTGTAGTTCCAGCTACTGAGGAGGCTGAGGCATGAGAATGGCGTGAACCTGGGAGGTGGAGCAGGCAGCAAGCGGAAATCGTGCCACTGCCAGCCTGGGTGACAGAGCAAGACTCCATCTCAAAAAATAAAAAAGAAAGGATATTCATTAAAGGTGTTAATTGAAGAAGTAATGTATGCACATTAGAGCTATTTAAGCCATTTTGAAGGAGTGTTGGAATGTTCGATAAAATGTGTTTTTCTTTCACCCGTACACTGCTTTGTATCCCTCTCTCTAAGGATCTGTACTTAGGCTTCTATCTGCTTACATAAATTTTTGTTGCTTATGGAAGTATTTGCATGTATAGTTAAATTCTCTAAACAATTTTGGGTTGAGAATTCTTTGCTCCTTCTAGACATATATAACTGTAAGACATCAAAAGTGGAAATTCTAAGAATATATTCAAGAATGTTTTTATGTTAGCACTTGCCAAATAGCTCTTCCAAGAGATTATCAGTTTATATACATCTGTGCATTTTGGTTGAAAATGTGTATTTCCACACATCATTCTCAACACTTGGATTTAGAAAATCAACTTCTAAAAGTTTTGAGAATTTCATACATGAAAATATGTTTTAAGTTTAACCATAATTGCTATTGTGCACATTTTTTTTTTTTTTTTTTTTTTTTTTTTTTTTTTGAGACAGATTCTCACTCTGTTGCCCAGGCTGGAGTGCAGTGGCATGGTCTCAGCTTACTGCAACCTCCGTCTCCTGGGTTCAAGCGATTCTCCTGCCTCAGCCTCCCAAGTAGCTGGAATCACAGGTGCCTGCCACCACGCCCAGCTATTTTTTTGTATTTTTAGCAGAGAGGGGGTTTCACCATGTTGGCCAGGCCAGGCTGTTCTCGAACTCCTAACCTCGTGATCTGCCCACCTTGGCTTCCCAAAGTGCTGGGATTACAGGTGTGAGCCTCTGCGCCCGGCCACATTTGCATTTATTTATTTATTTATTTTTGTTTAGATTTCTATATTTACTGTTGGGTGGTTCATGTTTTTCTTACCTGCTTATAAGGGTACTTCAAATCAGCCTTTACATATGTGTTGCCAGTTATATTGTCAATTATTTATTGTATGTGCTGCTGATATTTTTTTCCTGATTTGTCATTTGTGTCTTAACTTTATGGTATTTATTGTATGGTGGCTGTTGTATTTATTTCTGTCTTTTGTTATTTCATTTTGACTTAGGTGCTAGTCCTATGGGAGTAAATGGAGGTGTAGGAGTTCAAACGCCGAGTCTTCTTTCTGACTCAATGTTGCATTCAGCCATAAATTCTCAAAAGTAAGTCTTACCATGGTTTGTACCCTGAGTCATATTACAAATACTGGTTAACAATTAATTGTTTGAATTTTTAACATAGTTTCCTCGGTTTGACGATGTCTTTGAATACAGACAGATGTTTGAGTCCATTCTTTTCTTTTTTCGCTCTGTAGCCCAGGCTAGAGTGCAGTGGTGCGATCTTGGGTCACCGCAGCCTCTGCCTCCTGGTTCCCGGTTAAAGTAATTATCCTGCCTCAGCCTTCTGAGTAGCTGGGATTACAGGAACACGCCACCATGCCCAGCTAATTTTTGTATTTTTAGTAGAGACGGGGTTTCACCATGTCGGCCAGGCTGGTCTTGAACTCTTGACCTCACGATCCCCGTCCGCCTCAGCCTCCCAAAGTGCTGGGATTGCAGACTTGAGCCACCCTGCCCGGCCTATTCTTTCTTCTTTCTACAGCCTTAATTGAAATTGTATTAATTATCTAGTGTGGCCTACACCTTCCCTAATAGAGTAGGATGTTGCAAGGTTACAGCTCCGTAACAGTCGGCGTTATCCTGATGTTAAGAATTAGTGCACCATCCTCAGCAATATGTCAAGACGTCTTCTCTACAAGAAAACAGAAAGAAGTTAGCTAGGCGTGGTGGTATGCATCTGTACTCCCAGCTACTGGGGAGGCTGAGGTGGGAGGAGCACTTGAGGCTGGAAGGTCAAGGCTCCAGTGAGCTGTGATTACACCACTGCACCCCAGACTGGGTGACAGTGAGACTGTGTCTCAAAAAATAATAATTATTATTTTAAAAAAAGAATTAGTCCATCATCCAAATAATTCCCTGAGGTGAGCTGTGTTAAAATGACAGCTTAGTCCAATAACACAAGCCTTAGAAAACTAAGTGTGGGCTGGGCATGGCAGCTCTCCTATAATCCCAGCACTTTGGGAGGCTGAGGCAGACAGATTGCTTGATCTTAGGAGCTCAAGACCAGCCTGGGCAACATGGCAAAACCCTGTCTCTGCGAAAAATACGAAAATTAGCTGGGCATGGTGGCGCCCACCTGTAATCCCAGCTACGCAGGAGACTGAGGCAGGAGAATCGCTTGAACCCCAGAGGCGGAGGTCGCATTTAGCTGAGATTACGCCACTGCACTCCAGCCTGGGCAACAGGGTGACACTCCGTCTCAAGGAAAAATAATGGCTGGGTGCAGTGGCTCACGCCTGTAATCTCAGCACTTTGGGAGGCCCAGGTAGGCGGATCACTTGAGGTCAGGAGTTTGAGACCAGCCTAACCAACATGATGAAACCCCATCTCTACTAAAATACGAAATCAGCCAGACATGGTGGCGGGTGCCTTGTAATCCCAGCAACTTGGGAGGCTGAGGTAAGAGAATCGCTTGAACCCAGGAGGCAGAGATTGCAGTGATCTGTGGTTGTGCCACTACAGTCCAGCCTGGGCGACAGAGCAAGACTCCATCTCAAAAACAAACAAAATACAAAAGATTAGCTGGGCATGGTGAGGCACGCCTGTAATCCCAGCTACTCAAGAGGCTGAGGCATGAGAATTGCCTGAACGCGGGAGGTAGAGGTTGCAGTGAGCCAAGATTGCACCATTGCACTCTAGCCTGGGTGACAGAGCAAGACTTTGTCTCAAAAAAAAAAAAAAGAAAAAAAGAAAACATAACCAACAAAACCCAGAAAATTAAGTCCTATGATATTTTGTGTTAGGACGTCATTCTGCCCTCCTAAGAAATACAGCTTTCCCTCACACAGGTTCGCATGCACACTTTAAAATCAGTCTAGTTACACAGTTCTCCCTGCCTGACTCCTAAATGCAAATAGAAGTGACATAGCATATTGATCCCATTACAATAATAAGTGTCAGCTTGAATTAAATGAGGTCTTCTTTCTCCTACCTTTCTTAACTAAAACTATTTGGTGACCCCTTTTTGAAGCCCAATGATGAGTGAAAATGCGAGTGTGCCCTCCCTGGGTCCTATGCCAACAGCAGCTCAACCATCCACTACTGGAATTCGGAAACAGTGGCATGAAGATATTACTCAGGATCTTCGAAATCATCTTGTTCACAAACTGTAAGTAAGATCGTCGACACATCTCATTCGTAAAGAGATGTTATGTTAACATGCTTTCAGTCTCCTGGGCATTTAATCACTAAAGGAATATTAGCTAATTTTCTGTAGCATGGACATTGATGTCGATACTTCTACTCTTGTGGATTTCTTACTGCTGCTGCTTTTTTCCTTTTCAACCTTTCTTACCATCTATAGTAGTCTTTCAGCTTTAATAGTATGTGAACTATTCTGTCTAGTACCAGTAAATAATACATTAATTAAACATTGTTTTTAGCTGTTGCCTTTGCAAAACTTAAATATCTGAGAAAAACTAGGCCTCAGCTCATTAAAATATTGCAATGATAACATCCTTTTCTGTTACTCCTGGTGGAGCGGGTTTTTTTGTTGTTGTTGTTGTTTTTTGTTGTTTTTTTGTTTGAGACGGAGTCTCACTGTGTTGCCCAGGCTGGAGTGTAGTGGCACAATCTTGGCTCACTGCAGACTTTGCCTCCCGAGTACCAGCAATTCTCCTGCCTCAGCCGCCCAGGGAGCGGGGACTACAGGCATGCGCCACCACACCTGGCTAATTTTTGTAT